GTGTGGTATATGTGATTTTGAGGCACCTGTTGTCGAAAGACTTGTATCTTCATTTTGAACTGTCTCTACATGAGAGTCATGAGAAACATTCGTTGAAGGCACTTCTTGTGACTGTGATTGCGCACAATCAATTGATCGCTTCATCAACTAGCTGTAAATATCACTCATTTGGTACAGATCAACAATTTCCACAGAAATAATAAAAGGGAATAACCATGGCCTAAACTCCCCTAAACCTGTAAAACAGGATTTGACTTCACAGCAAAAGGAAGACTACTTTACAGAGAAGGAGACGAGGGAGACGAGATGAGTACCCGTACCTGATTCAATTGGGATTGAGGGCGTCGGCGTCTCAGGCTCTCGGCGATTGAGTATTTGAGGCGAGGGAGTTGCCGAGTCGAAGCTTGGCAGTGGGTTCAAGAGTACGACTGACGAGTGACGAGTGACGACTGCGATCGGCGAATCTGCAACCGGCGATTCCTCTCTCAGGGTGTCGAAGCAGTCGAACAATAGCACAGGCAGTGAGGCTGAGGCAGACCGCAAGCAACACAGGATACGATTAGGTCTCGGATAGGGTTGGGCTGTGATTTTTGAACGGAACATAAAAAATAAAAAAGGGAGGTTATCGGTCTTTTTCGGTCTGGACCGATTGGAAATCGGGTAATGACCGGACCGGACCGAAACCCGAAATTCTAAAAACCTCAGACCTCAGACCGACCCGAAATCCTATCGGTCCGGGTTCGGTCTGGACCGATCGGTCCGGTTCGGTCGGTTTTTCCGGTCCAGACCTATAAATGAACACCCCTACCAGCAACCCATTTACTCAAGCCCAACCTTTATTCCTAACCTAATTAAGCTTACCTTAATTAGCTCCTAAATCTCTTACTATAAATTTAGGCTCCCCCTTTGTGTCTTTCACCGTGCAAAAATCCTCTTCTCTTCTTCCTTGTGGGTTTTTCTCTTCCTTTGTGTGGTCTCTCTGTTCTTCTACGTTTCTTTGTGAGTGGTGTGTGGCGAGGTTGGGTTGGGGTGTTGCTCCTTTTGGTACCCTTGTAGTGCTTAACTACGGACCGATTTTTACGGATTACCTGAGCCTTATCAAAATAAATAAATACACATAACAGTGGTATCGGAGCCCGGTTTGTGCTCTGTATTTATTTATTTTTCGTGAGGTGTCTTTTCCACTTTTTCGGATTCACTGTTCTGGCAGGGAGGGTTTTCTTTTTTCTCTTGTTTTGATTCCTTCGGTCAAAGTTTCAAAGCCATCTTTTTTGTTTGGTTGTGCACTTCACACGAAAAAGAAAAAAAAAGAAAACAAATCCTCTTCTGCCTCTCTTCAGCTTAAATCGGAAACAAAGAAAAAAAACAGTGGGTTTTTTGCATCGATCCGTGTCCATCCTTATCTTTTTAGCAGCTGTTCTCTGGCAAAAAGGAAAAGGGGCAGGGACGAATGGCAGAGCCGGAGTCGCACCGATTGCTTCGTGCGGTTGGAGATCTCCGTCGAAGAAAGAGATGCTCCAACGTCTAGGGGCTGTACCTGATTGCCGCTGCCAAAAGCTCTTAAATACTTCCTCCCTTGAGTTGTTAAGTCGAATCTAGGCATTAGATTCGCCCAGGTACACAACTCTTTATCCTTTTGCTTTCGTAGCATTTTTTAGGGTTGTTTTAATTCCGCTGCATTATTTCAGATAGCCTAATTTCACTATAGTTTTTGCTCGTGTGAAAGAACAACAGGATTGAGTAAGCAATTTTTTGCTAACATAATAATCTTGGGTTGTTCGTGCGATTGCTTCACACATGTGGGCCAAATTTGGAAAATTTAGGCCAAATTCTATGTGCCTTTGTGTTGCTGCTTTTTTTCAGTTTTTTATTCTCTTTTGTGGTGATTTTTTGATTTTTTTTATTCTCCTTTGTGGATATGTCTACTATGAATCAGTATGCTTTGACTCCTTTTAATGGAAAAACTGATTTTAGTATTTGGAAACAAAAATTGAAGTGTGTTCTTGTTCATCAAAAAGTTTATAGGGTTGTTAGTGATTCATATCTAGAAACAAACACTAAAGAGAAAAAAGTTGAAATGAATGAAATTGCTTGTTCCATAATTTACTTAAACTTAACTGACTCTGTGATCAAAAAAGTTGGTATTTTGGAATGTGCTAAAGATCTTTGGAATAAACTTGATGAACTTTATATTGAAACTTCTTTGCCAAACAAGATTTTCTTACTTGAAAAATTTTTCAAGTTTAGATTGGATATGTCTAAAGACATAGAAGAAAATCTAGATGTTTTCACCAAACTCATTTCTGCTATCAAATTAACCGGTGATAAACATATTGATGACTACACCCCTATTGCTCTGTTGAATGCTATTCCCGATTCCTACAGTGATGTTAAATCTGCAACTAAATATGGTAGGGGTAATATTTCTCTTGATGTTGTTGTGAATGGTCTCAAGAGTAAGGAATTAGAGTTGAAAAATTCTAAGAGTGATAAAAATTCTAGGGAGGTTATGCATGTGAGGGGTAGAACTTTGAATAAATTTCAAAACCATAAACATGCTAACAATGATAACTCAAATGTGAGAAGATTCAACCAGAGAAGGGATAAGTCTAGATCCAAGTCTAAAACAAGAAAATGTTACAATTGCAATGAATATGGTCACCTTAGTAATAGTTGTTCTAAGCCTAAGAAAATTCAGCAAAAAAATCATGCTAATATGGCTAGTGAATCAAACAACTTTGGTGATGTCTTAATGTTCAAAGATTATGCGTATTTGAACTCTGTGCTATCAGATTATCTCTGTGAATCTGATTGGCTTGTTGATTCTGGTTGCACCTTTCATATGTCACCATTTAAAAACCTTTTTTCAAACTATCAAGAGATTGATAATTGTATTGTGTCCATAGCTAATGAAAAGAAATGCAAAGTTTTTGGAATTGGAGATATGTGTCTTAAATTTGATTCTCGATCTATTGTGAACTTAAAAAATGTTAGACATGTGCCTGATTTGTCCTATAATTTGCTTTCTTGTGCATCTCTTGAAAATGAGGGTTTTGAGGGAAAATGGGGGAAAGGTGTTATGAAAATCATGAAGGGTTCAATTGTTGTTTTCAAAGCTGAAAAGAAAAATAATTTGTATGTGTGCAAAGTTGAACCTGTTTGTGAGCATGCTAATTCTGTGGTTGATAATTCTGTTCTATGGCATAAACGGTTGGGTCACATGAGTAATAAAGGACTTGAAATATTGCATAAAAATGGACACTTGGGTAGTGATAAGCTTATGCATGTTCCTTTTTGTGAATCTTGTGTGCTTGGAAAACAAACCCGCGTTACTTTTCCTAACCCGAATCCTGTTACTCGAACTAAGTGTTCTGATGTGCTTGAATATTTGCATGCTGATGTGTGGGGTCCCGCAAGTGTTTCCACTCACGGAGGGAACCGATGTTTTCTTTCCATAGTTGATGATTATTCTAGGAAAGTTTGGGTCTTACTTTTGAAAAAAAATCTGAAGTTTTTGATAAATTTAAAAACTGGAAAGTTTTGATTGAGAACAAAACTGGAAAGAAAATAAAAACACTTAGGACAGATAATGGCCTTGAATTTTGCAACAAACAACTTGATAATTTGTGTGTTACTTGGGGTATTAAAAGACACAAAACTGTTCCTTACACGCCTCAACAAAATGGGGTAGCTGAGAGGATGAACAGAACTATTTTAGAGAGGGCGAGGGCTATGTTAGCTACTTCTGAACTTTCTAAAAATTTTTAGGGTGAAGCTGTTTGCACTGCTGCAGTTGCTTTCTCGGGTAAACCCCTAGATTTATCAAACCTGCGTGTGTTTGGTTGTGCTGGTTATGTGCATCAAATGAATGATAAACTCGAACCAAGATCTAAACTATGTGCTTTCTTGGGATATCCTGACGGGGTAAAGGGTTATAGGTTGTGGGTAAAAGGTGAACCAGGTTTTAAGATTGTGATAAGTAGAAATGTTGTTTTCAATGAAAATAATTTTCCGTGTTTGTCATTGCCTATTCCCAATGTTGAAAATGTGGCTCCAAATGAGGTGGAGCAATTTCCTGTTATCATTCCTACTAATGTGCATGTAGAAACTAATGAACATGTTGATATGAACCATGATTCACACACTAATGAAGATAAGACTATTTCTAATGAGGTGGAGCATGATAGTGTAGAATCACATGTTAAAAATGATTTGCATGACTATCAACTTGTTAGGGATAGAAATAGAAGAACCATTAGCAAACCTGCGAGATATGTTGATGACTGTAATATGTCTGAGCTTGCTTTTCATGTGTTTGAATCCCTTGAGTGTGATGAACCTAAGACTTAATCGTGAAGCATTAGAATCTAAATGTTCTGAAAAATGGGTTAGTGCTATGAAATGTGAGATGGAATCCCTTCGTGTTAACCAAACGTGGAAACTTGTGCCAAAACCTGAAAATTGTTCTCTTGTGGACTGTAAGTGGTTGTTTAAAGTTAAGCAAGAACCTGAAAATGTTAGGTTTAAGGCTAGACTTGTGGCTAAGGGATTTACTCAAAAGGAGGGAATAGATTATGTAGAAATTTTTTCTCCTGTTGTCAAGTTCACCACTATTAGAATCATGTTGTCTTTAGTTGCTCAGTATAATTGGGAATTAAAACAAATGGATGTTACTACTTCTTTCTTACATGGTGATCTTGATAAAAATATTTATATGCACCAACCTAAAGGATTTGTTGATCCTAAGTTGCCTAATCATGTGTGCTTGTTGAAAAAGGCTTTGTATGGTTTAAAACAATCTCCTAGGCAATGGAACATTAAATTTGATAATTGCATGAAAAACTTTGGTTTTAAGAGAAGTAATGCTGATCATTGCTTGTATTTTAAGAACACTTTCTCTGTTCCTGTTTTTCTTCTCCTTTATGTGGATGATATGCTAATCATTAGTCCTAACTTAAAGTCTATTGAGCATGTTCAAAATTATCTTTGCAAAAATTTTGGCATGAAAGATTTTGGAGATGCTAGAAAAATACTTGGCATGAATATTGTTAGGGACAGAAAGAAATCTACTCTTGTTTTAAACCAAAATTCCTACATTGATAAGATTTTGAGTAAATTTGCTATGTGTGATGCTAAACCTGTGGATGTTCCTTTAGCTGCTCACTTTGTGTTGAGTAAGGATATGTGCCCTAAAACTAAAGCTGAAATTAATGAAATGAAAAATGTGCCTTATTCGAATGCTATTGGTTCTGGGATGTATCTTATGATTAGCACTAGGCCTGATATTGCATATGTTGTTAGTTGTTTGAGTATATACATGTCTAATCCTGGTATGGCCCATTGGAATGCTCTAAAATGGCTTTTGAGATACTTGAAATCTACTAGGAATGTTGGTTTAACTTTTTCAAGAAGTGATAAAAGTGTTAAATTGATTGGCTATGTGGATTCTAACTATGCAAACGATAGGGATAATAGAAAATCCACTACTTCCTACGTGTTCACTTTGTGTGGTTCTTGCATTAGTTGGAAATCTCAACTTCAACACATTGTTGCTTTATCAACTACTAAGGCTGAGTATGTTGCAGCCACAGATGCTTTTAAAGAAGCCATTTGGCTTAAAGGTCTTTTATCTGAAATATGCTTGCTTGATAAGAATGTGGTTATTTTTTCTGATAGTCAATCTGCCATTCAACTATGCAAAAATCCTGTTTCTCATGATAGAACAAAACATATTGATGTTAGATTTTATTTTATTAGAGACATAGTTGAAAAGGGCATTGTCATGCTGGAGAAAATTCCTAAGGAGTCTAATCCAACTGACATGGGTACTAAGTGTTTACCTGTTGAAAAATTTACCTTATGTCAAAAGATTTTAAACCGATCTCTGTGATTGTGTATTGATCTTTTGTTCTTTTTTGTCTTTGTGACTTTTGCTTTTTCTTCTTTGTTTTTTGAACTCGATGACCCAATGGTAGAGTTCGACTCTTCGTGAGTTATTTTTTGGCATGCTTTGTGAGGTTGCCTAGTCTTTGTGACTTGAAAGTACTTAGTGAACTCTCCACCACTACGTGTGTTCTCATTTGTTGTTTACACATTTAGTGGTTATTAGGCTATGATGAGTCCCGCGGTTCCTTGTCAACTATGTGCACTACTTTGGGCCAAAGGTGGAGATTGTTAATTTATTTGGGTTGGCCCAAACATATTAATAATATTTGACACCCAACCTAGCAGCCCATTTACTCAAGCCCAACCTTTATTCCTAACCTAATCAAGCTTACCTTAATTAGCTCCTAAATCTCTTCTATAAATTGAGGCTTCCCCTTTGTGTCTTTCACCGTGCAAAAATCCCCTTCTCTTTGTGAGTCTTCCTCGTGGGTTTTTCTCTTCCTTTGTGTGGTCTCTCTGTTCTTCCCCGTTTCTTTGAGAGTGGAGTGTGGCGAGGTTGGGTTGGGGTGTTTCTCCTTTTTGTACTCTTATAGTGCACAACTACGGACCAATTTTTATGGGTGACCTGAGCCTAATCAGAATAAATAAATACACATAACATATATATATATATATATATATATATATATATATATATATATATATATATATATATATATATATATATATATATATATATATATATTGGACACCTTATAGTGAGATGACATGCTTCGGTGGGATGACGCCAAGCTCACCACACTACACTACAAAGCTCACCAATGGACAATGCAAAGCTCACCTAGAAATGAAGCAAAGCTCACCATTTTGAACACCAAAACTCACATTTTTTTATAAATTTTGATATTTAAAAATTAATATAAAAAAATAACACCAGTCAACCACCAATCAGAGGTGGCGGCTGGCAGCGGTGCAGCAGCGGCGACCGGCGACTGGTGGCGGAGGCCGGCGAGTGGCGGCGGAGACCGGCGGTCAAAGGTCCCGGTCAACGGTCAAAATCTAGTCATCACCCCTTCCTTTGATTTTATGTTTAAAAAAAAATTCAAAGTGTTGAACAAATATGGTGAGCTTTGCTTTATACTTTGGTAAGCTTTGTAGTGGCTCGTGGTAAGCTTTGCCTCATCTCACCGTAGTATGTCATCTCAGCATAAGGTGTCATCTCACTGGAGTCAATCCCTATATATATATATATATATATATATATATATATATATATATATATATATATATATATATATATATATATATAGGGATTGACTCCAGTGACATGACACGCTTCGGTCAGATGACGCAAAGCTCACCACTAGCCACTGCAAAGCTCACCAAAGATAGCTACAAAGCTCACCAAACTGTTACGTAAAGCTCACCATATTTCTTCAACACTTTGAAATTTTTTGAAAAAATAAAATCAAAGGAAGGGGTGCTGACTAGACTTTGACTGTTGACTGCCAGCATTGACCGCCGCCGGCCGCCGCCGCCGGTCTCCAACCACCATAGCCAGTCGCCGGTCGCGGCCGCTAGACTCCGGCCGCCGCCGCCACTGATCGGTGGTTGACCGGTGTTGTTATTTTATTTTTAATTAATTTTTTAATTTTCAAAATTAAAAAAAGGTGAGTTTTGGGATTCAAAGTGGTGAGCTTTGCTTTATTTTCAAAAAAAAGGTGAGTTTTGGGATTCAAAGTGGTGAGCTTTGCTTTATTTCCAGGTAAGCTTTGCATTGTCCATTGGTGAGCTTTATAGTGTAGTGTGGTGAGCTTTGCGTCATTTTACCAAGACATGTCATCTCACCGTAAGGTTTCATCTCATTGGAGTCTATATACATACATACATACATACATACATACATACATACATACATACATACATACACACACACACACACACACACACATATATATAAGGAAGTTTTATTGAATGGGGAAAGGAAATTACAACATGCCAGGATAAGGAATGCTCAAAACGAACAAGCTGAAAGTCTAAAAAACATCAAAAAGTTTCCTTCCATTTCTCCAAAACATATCAATCCCCCAACCTTTGAAGTCTTCATCCTTGACGAGCCATTTCTTGTTTTTATTAACCCAACACCATCCCTGCACCAGTTTGAAGCATTGTTGGATTAGTGAAGCTGTGGTGGCTGATTTCCCTTCATGGATGGATGTGTTACGAGCTTTCCAAAGGACCCAAGAGATGATTCCAAGGAGGATGAGCCTGAGGTTTCCTTTGAAGCTTCGGCTGTTCCCACTTAGCCACCAGGCGATCAAGTGTTGACGTAGTTGATTGCCAATGCGTCGTGGTGGAGCTGAGGAAATGTGTCCAAAATATTCCCAAACTTTGGCATTGCATGGATAATGAAGTAGTACGTGGTCTAGGGAGTCCTCTCCAGCCTGGCATAAGTTGCATCTGCTTGTGAGAGCAAGGTTGAAGCGTCTTAGGTTGGCAGGGAAAGGGAGAGATTTGTTAAGACACTTCCAAACGAAAATCTTTATTTTGGGGATTTGTGTCTTGTGCCAGATGAACTTGTTGGTGATAGAGGATGGTAAACCTTCCTCTCCAATTTTATAGGCACTGCCAAGACTGAAAGAACCTCCTGACCAAGTCGTGCCTCCTCCCGAGATGTTACTATGAGCTGACCCTATAGCGTGAACCCTGCAGATCCTCTTCCATGATGGAGAATCAGTTATTTTCTCTTTTATGGATCCAGACCTCATATATTTTGCTCTGACAAAGGGACCCCATATACTCTGATCGTTTTGTGCTTTCCACCATAGCTTCAATGAATATCCTTGTTGTATTTTCTCAAGGTTTCGAATGCCAAGACCTCCAGCCTGCTTAGGGTGGCAGATTTGGTTCTAGTTTTTCCAGTGGTACTTTGGTCTCCCATTCTTTTGCCCCCAGAGGAAGTTAGCCATTAAGGAGTGAAGGGAATTGGAAATGAATTTAGGAATGGTTTGCACAGCCAGAATATGAAGGGGAATGGAAGAGAGGACGTGCTTGATGAGAATCAGTCTGCCCATTTGGTTGAGTGTTTTGCTATACCAGGAATGCAAATGCTTGTGAAAGTGTTCCACCAGTCTTGAGCAGTCCTCCTTTTTTGGCTTGCCCCTCTTGATTGTTGCTCCCAGATATAAAAAAGGGAGATCTCCCTGCTTCATGCCAAGTGCTTTCTCCATATTTTGGATTTGAGTGGACTGAGTCTTTCTAGAGGTGTAGAATCTGCTTTTACAGAAGTTGATCTCTTGCCCTGAAGCTTGCAAGTATTCTCCAAGAATGTGTTTAAGTTTAAGGAGATTCCTCGTGTCTCCTTTGGTGAAAATCATTAGGTCATCGGCGTAGATGAGATGGCTAGTGAATTTGACACTACCTGCATTAAATCTTTGGAAGTGGTTAGTGTCAACATAGTGATTGAGCAGCCTACTGAATCCTTCACCTGCAATGATATAAAGGAGAGGGGAGAG